AGCTCTGACAGGAAGTGGTTGTGTGAACATCAAAGAGGAACTTTGTGTTTAATTGAACTTTTTTATGACCTGATTTATTCTGAGAACTTCAGACTTTATTTCAAGTTTATCTCAAACTTTGATTCAGCTTTAATGTAACGATCAATCAGCCCTCGCCCTCCGAGCTGCCGTCTGATCGGCCAATCAGGACGTCATTTATTTCACTTTGTTGCTATGGGAACAAGGTGGAAATGGGTCAAACACAGCAGGTTAATGTCATGACACAATTCATGCCTCCATCACACACACACACAATTTTACAGTGTTTAGTACTAAGAAATGTATTTATTTGAATATATTAGTTACATTGTTATATGTTGCATTAGTTTAAAGGTTTTATGTTATTAATAAATTGATTCAAACAAACAGTAATTGTCACTGAGCTCATTTGATTTACAGGCATTTTTAACATGTATGAACACGACGCTAACTTTGAACAATATTACATGGATATTTATTTGATAGCAATAAATAAATAACAATAACAATTAAACATGAATATTTCAAAAACACAGTATGTAAAGTTGTTCCCACAGGATCAACCTGAGTGACCTGATCCTGGACCGTTTCTTTAACAACTGTAATAGATTACAGGAAGTCTCTGGCAGTGTTGCTGAAGATCAGACGTGGATGGCGTGCTGCAACTGAGACCTGCGGTTTGTCTTTCCTGGTCGGCGAGTGGAGAATCACACAGGGTGGTCTGCAGAGAGCTTTAGGATCCTCCCACTGTCCACGGCATCGTCCATCCACAGGTGTGCAGGGCTCACTCGTGGCTGCCACTGAGATGTTTTCAGATATATGCAAGCAGGAGATGGTGGAGGCTACATTATCAGTATAATACTTGTAACTCTGTAGCAGACAACAGTTTGATAAAGTGCTGTGTAAACAAACAAAAGATTAGCTTCTATACGTTTCAAAGATATTTAGTTTATTTTATATGATACAGAACATGTGTGAGAACGACTGATGTTGTGCCCTGAACTGATTGCTCGTATTTAACCTGCTATGAATAACTTGTTGGTCTATAACACGTGAAACATGTTAAATGTTTCCCTCATTAATGACATCAGGTCACTCTGAGCCTCCAGCAACGTTCCTGTAACAGGAGAAGCTGCAGTGACGTTTATCCTTATTTATCCAGCTCAAAACAATCTTGTTGACATTAGAAATGTACTTTTTAAGAGTAATCAGGCCGGTGATTGTTGGGTTTTCTCTGTATGTGTGATTGTAGGGTCGACCTTACAGTATAAAGCACCTCGAGACGACTGCTGCTGTGATTTGGCGCTGTGTAAATAAAACTGAACTGAAAGATGTGCTTCCACAGGAAGTGTCAGAGCCCCTCACTGTGGGGACGTTAGTGCAGTCTAACCTTCACAGCAGAGACATTAAACTCAGAGGTCCGGTTAGCAAAGATCTGGATGGTCATCAAACCACACGTAGACGAAACACGTAACACTGTTTCACACACACGTGCATCAACACTGATGTGTCGCAGCAGCGTGACACAAAGCACGGAGGACAGAGCGTGATGGCGCTCTACAGGAAGCACTCCTTACACGTTTGTGATTTTTACTGTTTCTGTTTGAAGGTTCGGAGGTGTTTCCTGCCTGGTTACCGTAACGACCCTAATAACAGTGAAAGCACAGAGCTGATGCTTTCAGGAACTGTTGGAAGTTTCAACTGTGCCAGTTGTTCAAGCGCTATGGTAGTTTGACCCTGACCCGACAGGAGCGCCGTGCTTCCATCGGGATGAAGGAGAACGCGGGTTGGACCTCGGCTCTTTGCTGGATGGGCTCCGGAGGTCACAGGTAGATTCAGGTGGAGGAAGATCTGTAATCATCCATCTGAACCTGAAGGTCTCAGTGGTCTGTCCACATCTGTCCAGCTGTGCTGCACCTGCAGGACTGCCAGCAGTCACACTGTACCAGGTAA